GGCGGTTTCCTTCGATTTCGGTTTCTGGGCCCTCCGCGACCATCAGAACCTGATCTGGGGCGACAGGACCCCAGTAAAGCACCCTAGCAACAGCCAAGGTGAAGAAGCGGGTCGAGGATTAGGAGGTCGGCTAGGAAGAACGCGCACTCCTGCAATAGGGTGTTCGCTCTGAGTTCAGAAGCATACGCGGGAATGCGGTAGTAAAGCTCTGGCAACGCACAGAGCCAGAAGTGCGGTAGGATGTTGTTTTGCTTCAGAAGCGTGCGCGGGAGTGGACTTCAGGCAATGCAAAGAGCCGGACGTGCGGTAGGGCTTTGCTTTTGTTTGGTACAAGAGTCGCACGCGGGAAGGGGGTTCTGGCAACACGAAGAGCAGGAAGAGCACGGCGAGTTGGCTACGCGCACCGCAGTCTACGTTTTAAGAGGGATCGTGGCCGCCCAGGCCAACGCTGCAGCTGGCACTGAGGCGAGGGCACGGCCCCCGAGCAGATCGAGGCGAGAGCCCGCTTCCTGAAGGCGTGGGGAGGATGTTGCAGGCGAGCCCGGGGCCGGGACGGGGGGTGAGAGCGCGGCGACGTGCGGCGCCAGGGCCGCGACAGGGGCGAGGGCACGGCCGCGTGCGCCCGAGCACACCTGTTACCCCGGGTCGCGCACGGCTTACAAGTCGGGGCAGGGGTGAGAGAGCACGGCCATGTGCACGCGAGTCGATGTGTCAATGGATCGCGCATGCTGTACGAGCCGGGACCCTGAACCTGATTAGAAATATGTGTTAGAGTTTTTTACCAGGGATCGTTGCCGTCCAGATCAAACACGTTGCCAGCAGATTGTCTTGCATGAGAAACAAAGAATCAAAGCCGTTCGGACCAAACATGTAGCCGTCTTTGAGACGAGGGCACCGTTCCCGAATAAATTTAGAAGGCCTCAGGCGAAGCGGCGAAACGGTTGTTGCATCGGCTGCCTGAGTGGCTGTCGGACCAGGCGCGTCTCGGGTTCCCCGTCCCCCACGGTGGGACTCTTCAGCTGTCCTTTCTTACATCCTTTGGATCCCTCTCGCGAAACGTTAGTAGGGAAATACTCCTGGGGAAGGCGGCGGGCGATTCGAGGCCGCGCATGGACAGCAACAGACAAGCAAGCAACCCTACTAGCAGCAAAGGTGAAGAGGCGGGTCGAGGAGTAGAAGGTCGGCTAACTAAACCGTGCATGCCCAGGTGAACAGCCGCCTGGACATGGGGTGAGAGCACGGCCATGTGCTTTCGAATTTGCTTGTTATAAGGGATCGTGGCCGCACCAATAATGTAACTGGCATCTATGCGAGAGCGCGAATCCTGAATGAATAGGAGGTCTGAGGCGAAACGGCTGCTGTACTGGACGAGAGTCGGGCGTTCTCGGGCTCCCCCTCCCCCGCGTGAGATTATATTATGCGGTCTTTGTCTACCTCCTGTAGAACCCTTTAGGGACACGCTACTGGGGAAGCACATCGTCGGCTGTGTGGGAAAGGAGCGTGGCGAGGGGAAGGGGCCTTCTGAGAGGGCAGCGGGCTTTTGAGAAGCCCTTTGGCCTCTCCCGAGGAACTCTCTTGAGACGCCTCGGAGCCCTTCTGATAACCCCAGCTGCCTTCTGAGAGAGCCCGAGGCACACATTGGCCTTCGAGAAAGCCAATGTTGCTTCAATGTTGTTTTGTTTCGGTTCGGTGCGTTTTGGCGTGTGCGTGCCGTCCGGAGAGGTGTGGAGACCTCCAGGAGAAGTCCAGAGACCCCCAGAGACTTCAGGGGGAGGGGGATCGTTGCAATCTTCGAGGACCAGGAAAACATGCATCAAGGCGCGTGGATCAGCAAGGGTACCAGCTCCATATGACATCGATGCTCTCTCCGTCGCCAGCTCAGGTGGCACTGGCGCCACACTTCGGAAAGTACGCACTCTCTTCGATCCGTGGGCCTGGCGCCCGGGCGCCAAACCCACGCATTCATAATCCATGTCAGCGCGTGCCCGAGTAATATCAGGAGGGGAAAAAACACACAGACACAATTAATCGGCGATTCCCAAAAAATATGGGAAAATATGGGAAGTGGGGGGGAAGACAGAAACCCAGAAAATATGGGAAAATATGGAGGATATTTTTATTTGTGTGTATTTATTTGTGTGTTCCAGTTCCCCTTCATAATACATATATATATATATATATAGATATAATTCCGTCCCAAGTCCCCCCAGAAGTTTCTACAGGCGCTCCTCCTTGCTGCGGGGGGAAGCACGCACTTCAAGGGCGAGAGCGCCTCTCGGGCTCGCCGTCCAGGCGAGAGCCCCGCTTTTCGAAGAGAGGAGCTGCCTCCTCCTCCTCCTCCTCCTCCTCCTCCTCCTCCTCCTCCTCCTCCCCTCCTCCTCCTCCTCCTCCTCCTCCTCCTCCTCCTCCTCCTCCTCCTCCTTCCTATAGGGAGGCCTGAGCCGCCAGAGAGTTCACAGAATGGTCCCGCGGGAGCCCCGGTTCGAAAATGGGGCGCCCTCCGTCTGGGCAGGCCGGAGGGCCTCGCGGATCACTTTGGAGAGGTGATTTGCGAGGCTCTCCGGCCCTTGCTTCCTGCAGACTCGACGGCGGTTCATGCACTGCCGTGCAGAGAAGCCGAGACAGGCCAGCGGCCGGCGGGGTGGCAGAGTGGGAGTAGATACTGGTAGGAATGAGAAGTGGGGAAGAGAAGGACCAGGAGAGGGATGGCGAGGACGAGGCGAAAGACGACGAGGAGGACGACGACGAGGATATGGAGGAGGAGAAGGAGGAGGACGAGGAGAAGGCGGAGGAGGAGGAAGCAGGGCAGCCAAGGCCTGCGTCGAAGGTTCTGGCCCATCGTGCCTCGCGAAGCCGAGGGACTACCATGGGTCGGCGGTGGCCTCGGGCAACAGAGCAGCCTCCTGAGCGCCCCGCAGCGTGCTCAGCATGCGTGGGAGTGCTCTCTGCCGCGCCTGCTGCTGGGCCTGGCGCCGAGGGCGACCTGGAGCCTGCACCGGTGTCTTGAGGTGCGCGGCGCGGATTCGGCGAGCCGAACAAAAAAATTGGACGGGCCGGCGGGATTTGGCTATGTAGAATACTTAGCCTCCCCCTCCTCCCTTCATCGAAGATCGGGGGTGGACCGAACCCCCCCCTGACACGTCGAGTAGTGAATTGTCCGGTTTAGGTTCTCGAGAGGGCACCGCGGCCGTCATTTTCCGGGCTTGCGCCCGCCAGGTTTGGGCCCGAGGTCGTTTTCACTAAACCACTTTTTACTACAGGGGGCTCTGTCCATCCCCGAGAAATAGGAAACAACGCCATAAACATAAGCTTTTGGCTCTCCGCGCGGGTTTCTTGGATCCGCGCTGGGCCCCCCCTGGCGGTGCCTCCGGCGCCGCCCTTGGCGCGCTCCGCGCGCCAGGGAGGGGGGCCTAGCGCAGATCCAAGAAATCCGCGCGGACCGTCGAACATTTATGGTTATGGCAGTTTGTTGTTTTGTTGTTGTTGTTTCTTCTTCTTCTTCTTCTCGTTCTACTTCAGGGGGCAAGGGAGAAGGGGGGAGGGGAGAGAGGGGGTGGGATTTGGCCTAAAGAACGCAGTCCGCGGGGTGCGTGGAAGAGTATGATGTGGATGGGAGGGGAGGCAGGAAGCAAGAGAGGGGGAGGAAGGAGGTTCAGGGGATGGAGGGATGAGGCTCGAGGATTGAGGAGGGTACGAGACGATGACGACGACGATAGTTCTGATGCTGGTGGTGGTTACACTGATGGTGGTGTGGTGGTGACGACGATGATGTAGATGTTGGCGTTGATGACCTTGATAGTTATGATGATGCTGGAGATGTAGTTGAACATGTTGACTATGATGATGATGCTGTTGCTGGTGATGGTGACGAAATGTGATTCTGATGGTCGCGAAAAGAGCATTGGCGGAGGGCGCAACTGATCTCCTGAGTGCATCGATCATCTTCTGAGGTGTTGTGGGATATGGCAGGTTATTTGCACACGGTTGCGGTCGAGGCTGTCCGTTTGAGATTTGTGATTGGAGTGTTGCGGCGCTCCTACTTCGAACCGTGGCCATACCTTCACTCCCGTACCTCGCGTGTAGGTGTCGTCCGCCTGATCTGCCGCGCTTCCCACGCGACCGTCCTTGTCGATTCGACTCCAGTGTACGGCAGGTTCGTGCCGTGTCGACGTGGCGGCGACCCCAGCGCGGGCGTTCAAGCTTGGGCGCCGCCAGTGGTCCAGGATCGGCTGATATCGAAAGCTCATGCGCGATTAGATTGCCGCGATCATTCAAAGTTGAACGATCCACGCGGTGTCAAAAAACCATTGCGCACGTCGTCACGACAAATCAGCCGTACTGCGTATTCAAATGCGGGGCCGTGGTGGGTATCATGACCAGGGCCATGATATTTCCCCGGATCATGGCCCCTCTTCTTTTTCTTCCTCTATGTTTCATATTTGTTTTGTTTTCAGTACTATTATTAGTCGTCGTCTTATTGTTTTTCTTCTTCTTCTTCTTCTTCCTATTCCTCTTCTTATTATTCTGATTATCATGTGTCTTCTTCTTCTGTTAAAGCGTCCCCCTTGGCCGCGCGAGTGCCTCGGGCTATGATTTGCGACCCCCCTCTTGGACGCCCCTCTCTTGGACGTCCCCGATCTCCTCCCCCATCTTTTGGACGCCCCCACCCCTCTCTTGGACGTCCCCGATCTCTCACCCCCTCTCTTGGACTTCCCCGATCTCCTCCCCGATCTCCTCCCCCTCTCTTGGACGTCCCCCCCCCCCGCCTGAGAGGAGTCGGCCCTCCTGCTGACGTGCTGCGGCAACGTCGGGGGCTACGCCAGCTCGGCCGCGGAGCCCCGCCTCTGCCTCTCTGGCGCCTTCTCCGCTCCACTCCACGAGGAGCGGGGGGGGGGAGGAACGGAGGAAGGGGGAGGGGAGGACGCAGGAGGAGGAGGAGGAGGAGGAGGAGGAGGAGGAGGAGGAGGAGGAGGAGGAGGAGGAGGGGGAGGGGGAGGGGGAGGGGGAGGGGGAGGAGGAGGAGGAGGAGGAGGAGGAGGAGGAGGGAGGGGGAGGGGGAGGGGGAGGAGGAGGAGGAGGAGGATTCTTTTTGATGTTCTAGGCGCTACCCAGACCCCCCTCGCGTCGCGCACAAAAACACGACGGGAGGTTTTCGGTGATTTTCGGCTTCTTGGTGCCCTTACCAGGCCCTGGGACCGCAAAACAAATGGCCCAGGATGGAAAACTGGTCCCCAGGAAGGGGTCCAGACCTCTGGGGGTCCACGCTGTGAAACATTATGACGTCGGGGATGTGGGCGCAGTCTGCGTAGCAGAACCACTTATAGGAGGGTGCACTCCTGACGGGGCTTGTTCCTTCGGACCCTGGATAGATCAGCCTTGAGAGCTGCGCGGCAGTCGTGTCTCGATAACTGGGGTGCTTGTCCTGGCGAGTGCACGCCGCCAGGTTCTTTTGCCCTCTCTTCTCAGGCATACACGTCCTGGGGAGCAGACGCGTGTCGGTCGAGGCCGTCTTGCCACAGACTGGACAAGCATGCAGGGAAACATGAGGCCAGGAGGAAAGGGAGGCAGAAACTTCGGCTTAGCTTGTGGCGCCGGTGGTTCTGGCCCACCACACTTCGGCGCGACACGCTAATCACGTCCCTGCAGCGTCAACGTCCGGAGTCATTCGAAGCCTCCCGCCCCGCGAATCGGAGCGACGCGCTATCCGCTTGCAGGGCACAGCGTGTCGCCGGGGCCGCCGCAGCGGTATCCTGCAAGTCTACGTGGCATAACTCCTCACCGCAAAACTCCAGGGGAGCGCAAGTGCACTCGGCGGGCCTCGTTCCTTCGGACCCTGGAGAGGTCAGCCTCGAGAGCCGCGCAGCAGACGGGCCTCGACAGCGGGGTGCTTGCCCTGGCGTGTGCGCGCCGCCAGGCTCTCGTGTCCTCTCCTCGAAGGCGCACGCGTCCCGGTGAGCAGACGCGGGTCCGTCGAGGCCGTCTCGCCACAGCCTGAACACTCCGTGCAGCGAACATCGAGGCCAGGAGGAGAGGGCGGATACGATACCTTCTCGTGCACCGAGTCTGGTCGGCTGGCGGATGCCCCACGGGAGGTTCTGATACCGAATGGGGCCGCAGAGCTCTTGGACACTGCGCGAAGCACAGATTCGTCGAAGGCTGTTTCCCAGAGTTCTTATAGCAAGATCTTTCACCGCTTGTGTCCACTTCACCCATGGAGGGGGGTCCTGAGGCGGCCCAGAGGAGGCGCCAGTGAGGAGGGGGCGGAGGACGACGACGCAGGAGGACAAGGATGGGGTGGCAAGAGGGGATGCTGGAGGACGCGCTGACGAGGCCGGGAGGAGACGGTCAAGAAGAGGAGGAGGAGGAGGAGGAGGAGGAGGCGGCGGAGGAGGAACGTGCCCTCTCATGCCCTCGCCGAGCCGTGTTTCGTGCTCATCGACCTTTCGTGCTCGTCGACCTCGAGCGCGCGCCGTAGCACAGCCCGCAGGATGCCGCCATGGCCTCCCTGCAGGCCGCCGCCCAGCAGAAGACGGGCAAGCGGCCTGGCACCGCCAACGGCCGCCCGGGCCTGGAAGGCGCCCCGGGTCGCCAGCAGATCGCCGTCATCCTCGCCGTCGTCGACACACGCCGCGGCCGCCGTCGGCAACAACGTCGACGTCAGCGTCGCCGTCGTTGTCGTCGTCGACGCCGTTGTCGTTATCGTCGCTGTCGTCGCCGTGGTTGTCGCCGTCACCGTCGTTGTCGCCGCCGCCGTCGCCGGCAACGTCGTGGTCGCCGTGTTCGTCGCCGCTGGCGACCGCCGGCGCGGTCGCCGTCGTTGTTGCCGTTGTCTTCGTCGTCGTCGCCGTCATCCTCGCCGTCGTAGAGGCAGCATCAGTTTGCCGTCGAGGGGCCTCTTCGTTGCTACGGCTGGACGCAGCTCGTAATACAAGTGCGAGTGGACCCCAGGAGGGGTCCGGGGACCGATTTTGAGCTGCCGTTGTCTCAATTCGCCCTCCGAATCGCCGTCGCCGACAAGGTCGTCGTTGCGGTCGCCGTCGCAGTTGCCGTCGCCACCGCCGTCGACGTCGTCAACGTCGTCGTCGATGTCGTCGCCGCCGCCGTCCCCGTCCTGGTGCTCTGTCGTCCAATCCGGCGGGGTCGTGATGGCGGTGGTTTCGCAGTCGTCGCAGAGGGGGGACAACGGAGGAGGAGGGATAGGGAGCGGAGGAGGATGAGGAGGAGGAGGAGGAGAAGGAGGAGAAGGGGAGGAATGACAGGGAGGAGAACGAGTGGAGGAGGAAGAGGAGGAGGAGGAGGAGGAGGAGGAGAAGGAGGAGGAGGAGGAGTAGGAGGAGGAGGAGGGGAGCGATGGCGGGGAAGAGAACAAGTGGAGGAGGAGGAAGATGAGGAGGAATGCCAAGGCCTGGGGCTGCGCACACGGTAGCCCCGGATGCCCTCAGGGAGCTCCCCCAAGCGTAGTCTGGGACTGGAGGCGGCGCGGGGTGTCGAGGCCGCCCTGGCCGGGCACTGACTCGGGGGGCCGTCGGCTTGCAGCCCCCGAGCCTTGTCGAGGAGAGGGGGGGGGGGCTCAGAGGATCCAGGCCCCCTGGATGGTGTCGGAGCAGATGGGGTCGGAGGATCGCGCCGCAGCGCCGATGTATCGGCGATGCGGCTCGATGCGGAGCCCGATTTTCTTCACACCAGCGTCGCCGATGCACTGCCGACGTCGCCGATGCATCGGCGGTGCATCGTCACGATCCTCCGACCCCAGCTACTCGGACCCCATCTGGGAAGCATCGAAAGGCGGAAGAGATACCGATGCCACTGCTCGTCTCAGAAGGCACCCTATGATGGGTCCCAGGAACACGGTCCTGGTCGAATTCTTGGCGTGTAGTTGTGAATGTTCCTATACACGCTCAGCGCTCCTGCACTTAGCGTGCATTCTGCGTGGTTGGTGCTTAGCGTATATCGGAGGGCTGTTTCACCCGACCCTATTTGGCGTATACGCCCTTGCGATGCTTAGCGTGTCAACGGCTTCGGTTTCGCAGGGCCCGA